GCTGTGTTAAAAAAGAAAATAAAGTGTACCCAAGAACCCTTAAATTGGAGTAAATTATGTTCTATCAGACAGGCTTCTCTTGTAGATAGTCAAAGGAAATAAGAACCGTGTGAGTTTTCTTTTTGTATTAAGTAGGAACAAAAATTGTAGCTTGTGGCCATTGTGCATGGACACATCGCAATGTCAGTGCTGCAAAGACATCGTGCCGTCTAACCATGTGGTATTAGGATATTTAAAGTTTTTCTTTTTATATCAGAGTAGGTTTGTTCATCTTTATTGTGTAAGTCTGTCTTGTGATTCACACTAAAGCCCTTCATTCAGCCCCATCGGTTTTACAGCAAATCTTAAATCTACTCTCATTGACACAAAGCATGTCTCTTTGTCTTAGCCTCTGACAATATTCAAGATCCACATATAGAGAAAACAGACAAGTAAGAGACAAAGCGATACAGCGATGGATGTGTTTGAATGTAAAGTTTAACGTGATTTCGTGCCGTGTGTCTGATGCATCAGGATGATCTGCCCTCAAAGGGAATCATCTATACAACTCCTGCTTACAACATCATATTCTAATTTTTATTTCGATTGTGTTAGAAAATATTGTTTAATATATTGTAAAACACTGATCAATTAGATAGAGTGAACAGCGAAAATTAAAACTTTTATGAATGTTCAACATACACATAAAAGAGAGGGACCAAAGAGAGATAAGTGGTCTATTTCCAACAGAATGTCACTATGAAGTGTAATCTGAAGATCCAGTGACACCTAAAGCTGTTTAGATGAAGAATAGAAGGAGGAGAAGGAAAACAAGCGTGGAGAGTGAGTAACACATAGATAGGAGATATATCGTAGATCAAGAGAAATAAAGATAGACACCGACAGCCGAGGAGAGGCTGAGTGAAGCACACAAAACGGACCAAAAGAAAAAAAAAAAAAAGACATTAGATCCTGCCAGGCATTTCTCTCCTGGAATTTGGCAGATTATTAGAAGTATGACCCTCAAACGCTTCACTTCCCAGCTAACGAGGGCGACGTCTTCAAGTGACATTTCCAAGCCGAAGGAGGACGGGAAAAAATGAAGAAAAGATTAAAAAAATGAAAAAGTTTTTGTCAAGATAAGCTTGAGATTTAAAGAAAAAAAAGCTGGTTGCCCCCCAGAGATGATGAATTACTGCACGCACGCATGCGCGCACAAACACACAAAAACCTGTAGCATATTAGGTAATTTCCCCTCCTGCTCAAACATTATTGCCAGTTTGGGAAAGGTAAATTTGTTCACTAAATATTTGATGGACACCCCTATCAACAATGAAATTAACAGATTAATCTTGCCAATAAGGATGTGTTTATCAGTTTGAAGCTGTGTGCATGCTGGTTTGTGTGTGGGTGCATGTTCATGTGCATGAGCGCCACATGAGCCCAAAAGTTAATTAAAAATGCATTGAACATTACACAGCTTATGACAGCGCACAACTCAAACTGTGCTCAAACTCAAATGATAAGGTCACACAGCCAAAATGAAAGAAGTTTGTCTTAATGTCATATGAAATAATAACAACATCAAAACAAAAAATCCACAAAGGAGAGAACTTTTCAGACATAAATAGTAAGTAAATTCTGTATTGCCAATTGATTTAATATTTACTGCCTAGTGGGAAACTGTCCGTTTGTTCACAGAAAATGGTGCGTTTTCCATTTTAGTGTGTAGTCAGCATGAAGCCGCAGGCGTAAAATCTAAGAAAAAAGAGACATTACATGAGTGGACACACAGTGTTGTTTGCCCTGCAGATATTGAAGCAGCCCTGTGTTGTTGCTCTTGAATTACAGGGAACACTGTTGGAAAATGTGCAGATTTTTTAGATAATCTAAGTCTCCTCTCAAAGACTGCTGATGCAAGAAAGAATATGATAATATGTATATAATAAAAGTTATAACAAGTATGTATAAAATGGATGCATAGTGACCTCTGGAAGTGCAGTGCAAAAACAGAACTGCACAATGAGAGAGAGTGTAAAACAAGCAAAAATGTTGCAGATTATCAGTATGACAACTCTCTGTTAAAACAATAATAGAAACTATGTTATTATCGAAACCCTGTACACGCCAGCCTTTTACAATGAAACACGAGGTTCTTTGCTTCACTTGCAAGACGTACAGCATTAGTCCGTTGGTGATACAGTATGAAGGATTGACAAAATAATTCACCTTTGTGCTGGCTTTATTGGAAATTAGCTACAAGAAAAGATATGTGTGCACTCTCTACCGCCTGGGTCCTGAAGTGTGCCCTTGCTAGTTCATTTTTTATTCAATCAATATTACATCATGAACTAATGGTATTACATAAATAGATTTTGGGCATTTGTGAATGGAATTAGAATGGTCAAAGATAAGACTTGTGACTCTTGTGTAAATTCAAATAACCTTTGCTGAATTCAGTACACTCAATTTTAACAGTCACATTTAATATCAATTGGAGCTGCCAGTACGGTACCTGAAGCACACGCTAAAGCTCATGGTTACAATGCGCTTTACAAAGACATCCATCCATTATCTATACACCGCTTAATCCTCACTGGGGTCGTGGGGGGTTGGAGCCTATCCCAGCTGACTTAGGGCGAAGGCAGGGGACACCCTGGACAGGTCACCAGTCTATCACAGGGCTACACTTAGAGACAGACAACCAAGCACATTCAAATTCACACCTACGGACAATTTAGAATCACCAATTAACCTCAACATGTTTTTGGACTGTGGGAGGAAGCCGGAGAACCTGGAGAGAACCCATGCTGCACGAGGAGAACATGCAAACTCCACGTATCTTGGGTGTCCTCATGCGTGCTAACACTGTGAGGCGACAGTGCTAACCACCAAGCCACCTTGCAGCCCCTTTACAAAGACATGGCCAAAAGAAAGAGAGAAATTACATAACAAATAACTGTATAAAGGAAAACAAATATAGGCATAATACATAAATAATAAGTCAGGCAACAACATAAACCAATAAGACAGCTGGAAGGAGTGCAATTCTGAAAAGAGTGTTTTAAGCAGTGATTTAAAAGAGGAAACAGAGCTGACTGTCTGATCTCCTCCACAAGGCCCTGACCTCAACAGTTTGCATTCTACGTCTAGGAATACTAACATACCTTTGTTAGAGGCTCTCATGCTGCATTGAGGCTCATAACAGATTTGCTTGTTGGAGAATTGTTGTTGAAATCAGGCGTCAGCCCCTAGTATGCCTTTGAGGTAGTCAGTAAAATTATAACCAGTGTAGGGATGCTAAATTTGACATTATGTGGAGTCTTTCTTAGATTTAGTGAGTCGGCGTGCCTCAGTCAGGTAAAGTTTAGATAGGTTGTACTGACTAAGACGGGAACACACAAATCTGGAAAATGCAATAAAATAAAATAACTGAACAAATAAAACACTAGAATTTGATTGTGTACAGCAACTCTTTCCTCTCACCTCTCAGTTCTGAGGCACTCCCACTACACAAGCACATGCTCAAGCTAAAAGTCAACATTCACTGCTGGTATTACACATCTTACATGCAGTGAGAGTTGGAAATAAAAACCTCTGTGATTGGCTCCTCCAAAGCCTAGACTCTCTAAAGCTTGAAAATGGAGCCAGGAGCAGGTGTAGCCGTCGAGTTATCTCTCCGACTACTTGAATTACAATGTGCTGAAAGGTTAGAATGGAACTTCTGCCCAGTAATGAGAAAAAATACAGCCTACCCTCTCAGACATGTACTCCGTTCAATTAATCTGACAGCATCTGAATGTGCTGGCTTCATGTCTGGATGAGCACCCAGGTCATTTTTCTGTATATGTTGTGACGGCAATCTTACCAGGTTAGACTTGGTAACATTTACGTATTACTTTCAACGTGGCACAAGCCTGGACTGCATTTAGCTTTATTAACTGATAGACATGCACGCACACACACACAAACAACTACGGGTTACATACAGTGGGTGACACAAGCTCTTGCATTACTGCGACTCTCTACCTCAGTATCATGAGTATGTCTGAGTAAAGCTATGAGGAACATTAACAAAAAAGTTTTGTTATGCATCAACAATTCATTGATTATGATGGCATTTCCCTGTAAAACCAAGCATAAGAAGGCACCAAAGCTCTCCCCCTCCCCTAGCTGAGGTGGCAGCTCTGACAAGATGACCAGGGGCCACTTTGTGTTGTACAGGCTGCAGTCTGCAGATTAGAGAGCCAGCGGAGATTTGCTGAGGATAAATGTAAAGCTGAGCTGAACAATGAATACTACTGGCCATGATTGTTTAAGGGGATAAGATGTTCACAGAAATCTGGCTCTATGGGGGACTGTGAGCGTGTATCAGAGTGTGTTGTGTGGGACTGTGGAACTGTGTGTCTGCGACTCTGTGCACACATGTGAGATTATAGCCTGTCGGGTAAGGGGTGAACATTTTTGTTTTGTGTGTGTATTGGGAAAGAAAGTTATGCGATGAGAGAGCAGTAGTGAAACTGCCAAAGCCACAAAGACCAGACAGTCCTATTTGGGAGGCTTTGAAGCTACACAGCTCCAAATGCAGGGGGAGCTTAAAGGACTTAGGAGAGGAATGGATCTGCCACACACATACCCATACAGCTGTATAGGACAAGACATTTCTGAGTACAGTCTGACCAAGTACACTCATAACTATTTCTAGAGGTTTTCTAAGCATCTCTTGTGTGTTTACACGTTGATTTCCTGTGTTTCTGTTTTTTGGGGTTTCATTTTTTTTTACATTTTGACTTGACAGTCCAAATATCTACAGTACATCCATCCACCCATTTTCAATGTCTGCTTTCTCCTGTGGGGATGACATGGGGACTGGAGTCCGTCCCAGCTGAAGTAGCATGAAAGGCAGGGTACACCGTGGACAGGTGCACCCACAGTAAATGCCAGTGCTAAAACAGATCTCTGTGTTACTTTGTCACACTCACACATAAACATAGCAAATGACAAATCATCATGATTCTCACCAAAGTCAACAAAGGATGAATGTCCAACAGCCTTGGCTACTGGCTCTGACAAGACCTCAGCTTTGGTGAAGTTCCCATCCTGAGAGAAAGACAGTTAGGTGGACAAAAAGAGAGAGAGAAAAGAAGAAAGACAGATTATGCAGTTTCCTGAATGCCCACACATATTGCAACTGCAGGACTGTAAACCTCTGTTTTTTTCTTTAAGGGCTATGAATAAGTCACCAGTGGCCTAAATGTACTGCATATTCAGTCACAGATGCAGTAGATCTGCTGTGAGGCATGATAATGAACAGCATAATGATGACCATGCAGGAGCTGTAGTTTTTCTTTACAGGATCATGGTTCATGGAAAATGTAATGGACCACAGAAAAAGATTCTCAAAAGAAGGCTTTTGCGAGCAAAAACATGAAAAGTGCACACCCTTGATTCACTGCCACGAGCTGCACGTATGCATATGTTTTCCAACAGATGCTGGAACACTCAAGTGTTGGTTTTAAATAGCCTCAACCTTTGGATCGACATTTAGTGATTCCATTTGTTGGACAACTTAAAAGTTCCTTAAAATTTACTTTAAAAAGAAAAAAAAAAAACATCGAATAAGAAAGTAGCTATATTTTTTGTTTTATTTATAATTGTTTTAAAAATTAATAAATCAATTGAATCACTCCCTTGAGTGCTTGGTCTACACAGGAACACTGAGGCCTGATTCAACACTTTAACAGACCCACAGTTGGCTCTGTTGGGCCTGAGAGACTTGTTTTTGATTTGTTTGATGGCAAAAGGTTTTATAATCTTGATCAGTGTAATGCATTTGTGTTGAGGCTGCAACTCATGACTTATTGTCATGAAACATTCTTCCATTGAATTGTTTAATCTATTTCTCAACAGTAAGTACATAATACACATGTTCCAGTGCCAACAGGCACATTTTAAAATTCATTTCAAACATTGTCAAATTCTATCGCAGAAACATTGTCCCATTTTAAAAACTGACGTTTATTTCTTCTAGGCTTAAACATACTGAATGTTAAACTGTTAATTTTCTGTTAATTAACCAAGTAATGTATTTGTCTTTATCTGCAAATTATTTTCTAACTAATTAACTAACCAATCAATCAAAAATGCTAATTCTAATCTCAGTGTGCTTAGGTGATGTCTTCAGATTGCTTTATTTGTGTCACTGACAGTTCAAAGCCCAAAGTTTTTAAAGTTATTGGGTCAGATGAGGAAATGCAACAAATGCTCACAGACACATATCATTTTTGTTTAAATGAATATGAACACATTACTTTTTTGGTGATCACCTTATCAACAGGTTAATCGACTAGTCCCTGGTTTATTTCTTCAGTTGTGTGCTGAACTGTTAACAGTCAGGTTCATCGCATAGTTTCATGTCATTTGATGGTCATATAGCTAACAGTGGACATGCTGTAGTGACACAGGAAGTAATCAAGGGATTGAAAGTAGTGCACTGACATATCCTGACAAACCATAGGTTTAATTATGCATTTTGATGCTGCTGACATGTGGGTTTACAGAGAGAACAATGGGTGTGAGAGATTTGACACTTATCGAATGTTTCTGGTGGTGGCTGCCCTTTATAGAGGGAAGGAGAGAAAAGTAAGGGTATAGGCATATTAGCAGGGGAAAAGAGATGTGTATGGTGTGTATGTGCTTGCCAGTAGGAACATATGTGATTCCGTGCAGTGGGAAACTGTTACCTGCTGATATTGACATTAGTGATTTATGAGCAGGAGAAACTTGGGGTGTTAGGAAGAGAGAGAGAAAGAGATGCAATGACTGAGTCAGAGAGAGTGACATGCACAATGTGTAGTAGTGTGGTCAGGGGTGCAAACGACAAAGGATGTACCTGTCTAATAACAATAACAATAACAACAATAATAAGAATAAGAATTATATGTGTGTGTGTGTGTGTGTGTGTGTGTGTGTGTGTGTGTGTGTGCGTATACATATATATATATATATATATATACACACATCTGCAACTCTGTTTAAAAGAAATCACACAGTAAAAAAGAATAAAGGCAAAGCTTGTATAAAAAATGTTTTACATGAGAGGGGAAAAAAGGACTGCTCGACATTCAGCGGGTCTGTTTGTGACAGTCTCTGGGTGACTTGCCCAGGTAGACAAAATCACTCGGCTTCAACTTTGATGAATCTGACCTTATCATGCCTCATTTAACTATTTTCAAACTAACTAATTTCTGCTACCACAACTGTTCAGTCGTTAGATTGCCACAACATCTGGTTTGGACATATTCCCTCCAGGATAAACTGAAACTATTGTGGTCAACTAACTTTTCTTTTAAAGCTTTAATTTATTCTTTGATTTACAAAAACATAGACTTTGTGTCGTATCAAATGATAATGACCAATGTAAGATGATGTAACTGAGTTGCATGTGCTGCAGTCATGCAGTGAGTGAGTGGGGACCAGAGGCTTCTCTGTGCCCTGCTGTCTTGTAGCTTATACTGATGCACCTGAGGCATTTAGAGAACATCAACAAACTGTAGCTTCAACCAACAAGTGTGTTGCATTTCAGGGACATCTATAACTTTTTGCTTTAGAAAACATCCTAACTTTTGCTCTTCCCCTCTAATTTCCATGAGTCTCATCATGTACACTGGTCACGCCATGCCACCCGCCGTAACAAATACATTTTCAACGTATGGGAAACGATGAGAAATGATATCACCAGCAACATTATGCAGAACATTTATAGCAAAGAGTTTGCATTCTGATCTGAAATGCAAAAAAAAAAGCTGGGAACAGTGCTTTTGCTATTAAAGCACCAACATTCTGAACTAAAATATTCCAAAAGCACAGCGCCTCCGGGAAACACGTCCTATGCCATTACAGGTGCATGGCCAGCAGAGCTTCCTCCCTAGTGTTTCAGTGCCAAGCAATGGCAAACTGAAGCAGTGAGGGGTCAGAAATTACAACAAAAATTTAGAATGATAATATTATAGCCAAGAGGGGCTATGCTGTGCTACATTTAAGTCCCAGGTTGTTCAGAAAACAAACAAACAAAAAAAACAATTGATCTACATCTTAATGCTCGTTCACAATTTTTTACACAATGCATTTATAAATTATCTATGTATATAGAAAGTGACAAGAAAGTTTAGGCTCATAATGCACAATCTAGTGCCAAAAGGCACAGCAGAAAATGGTGGGTGCACCTAAATTATGTGCATGAAAAACTTAGGCACACCAGTGCAGCCAATATAAAAATTATTCTGGAGCCGTGAGAAGTCATAGGAAAGGGAAAAGAGGGCTGAACATAAAAACCAACAGTTCACATTAGACATTTCACTGCTGCACATTATTAACAGGCATAAACTTTAAAAGTAACACTGTAAGGAATGGAAAACAAAACATTTCAAATAAATACTTGTCTCTGTGAAACAGCACTAGACAGACTGATGCAACACTGTTCTTGCGACACTGACATTGGAATGCAACACACTCTCCATGACATCGATTTCCTGTGTAGAGGGTACTTTCACAACACAAGAATGAAGTGTTGCCAACATCCACTCCCATTAGATGCAGATGGAAGTTCACGTTTTCACAAAAACCTTTACAAAGTGAACACATGACTGTCACAGTGCTTTTCAAGGTTTACTGTATTTAGATGATCAGAAATTAGTTTACATAGTGTCCTCTATTGGAAATAGCAGTACAAGTGTTTTTTTGTTTGTTTGTTTGTTTGTTTGTTTGTTTTTTTTTGGGGGGGGGGCTTTTTGCTTTTGTTAGATAGGACACTTGTGAGACAGAGAGACAGGAGAGTGGGGGAGAAGAATGGGGAAAGGACTTGCAGGAAAGGGCCACGAGCGGGACTCGAACCCATGGCTACTGTGTCAGAACTATAGCTCCTAAACATGGGTCGCCAGCTCAACCAGTTAAGGTATCGCAGCGCCCGTAGAAGTGGTAGTTTCACATTGTTTGGTAGTAGCAAGTAGGACTGGGCCATATCATAGCGTGCACGGTAATACCAGTGTAATGTTGATATGAAATTGAAATATCGCAATAAAATCTGAGTGAAACACGCATGTGCATTGCCGTTGTTTTTGTCCGGTCTAATGCACATGGAGCGAGAAGCACGGCAGCGACTGATGAGGAGGGCGAATGGAGTGCATCTACCGACACAGTAGGGTGGGACCCGAATATTGGAATATTCATTTGTGGTGGTGGTGTCCGCATAGCAATTTTGAGATCCCAATTTTCACCCGCCACCCGCCGCTACCCGGCTGATATTGTGCAGGCTGTGTAGGATGTGTGCACAGGTGTTGGAGGCTGAGTGTTTTTTGTGAAAGTAATTCTAAAAAGCCAAAAACTGCTGTTTAGCTTTCTAGACATGTTGTGATATCACCCTTCTAGAGAACTATAGTAGAAAAGGCTCACTTGATCATCCCAATGGCAGCCAGAGTCATAGTCTCCCACTCCACCCTCAGACATTAGGATTAGGTGACTAATGAATAGTGCTGCCAATGTGATTGTCCGGTAAGATTTACGATGCTGGAGCCTGAAGTTCTCTTTAGGTCCGTAAGTACTTCAATATTTTGACATCTGAATGAGGCTTTTGCATGACTGCTCATCCCTGATTGTGTCATAAAGGACTGAGCAGAACAGCCTGAAGATTGGTATCTGGAGCCAGACTGGTCTCCCTAAGGAAAAATTCTCTTTTTCAAAGTGTTTTATGTTTCCAGAAATGAGTAGCTAGCATTAGCAGCATCAGCCACCAAGAGCGAACAAATACAACATCAGCATACACTTTAAAATGTGGGTTTTAGAAGCTGAGTGAAATAAAGTTTGAAAGGCAGAAAAGAAAAAAAAAA